GGTTTTCCTATGAATTAAAATGAATACTGGATAACATGGCTAACTGAAGCTCACAGATTTACTGGAGAGTAGGATATCAAGTTTGAGTATAAAATATTCCCAGATTCATTTCAAACTGAGCATTTTTTTTATGTTAAAATTACTTTTTAAAAGGGGCACCTGGGTGGCTCAGCCGGTTGGGCGTCCAACTCCGGCTCAGGTCATGATCTCACGTTTCATGGATTCGAGCCCCGCTTCGGGCTCTGTGCTGACAGCTAGCTCAGAGACTGGAGCCTGCTTCAGATTCTGTGTCTCCCTCTCTCTCTGACCCTTCCCTGCTCATGCTATCTCTCTCTCTCTCTCAGAAATAAATAAAACATTAAAAAACTTTTTTAAAAAATTACTTTTTAAGAAATCTGGTTTAAAAAGTAACTTTACATTTCCTTTTCTTGGTTCATCATTAAATTGCAATATTCTGCAGAACAGTGGTAATTCTGTCACATCCCACATACCACCAGAGGGTTCTAGTTGACTTTCAGACCCTCTTACAGGAGACCCAACAGCCGGGTGTAGTGCACCATCTAGTGGCTGCAGGAATCACCGATGCCTGAAGGTTTCTTGTACTGTATTTTAGAAAATACTAGGATATACATGTTTCTAGAAAATAAGGGAATTATAAATAGCAATTCCAGATTCATAAGCCTATTTCCATCTAAAATTTATATTTAAATCATTTAATAAACAATAAAATTCTTGAAATGAGGGAAATTCATAATAACATGCTAGTTATGGATAACAAAGGCTTAGATAACCATTAATTTAACTATGCTGCACATTCATCTAAAGTACACTGTAGGTGCTTCATGCAAAGGAGACACAATGTATACTAGTGAAGGGAACAATGTACCTGCTGCTTTTTACTGTGCCTTAAACAATTTACCACAGGGGAGTGTTAGCAGAGGTATTTAAAAACGTTTGGGCAAGTATTTATGTTATTATCTAAACTGCACAGTCATGACAATATACTTACATTATTTTTAAATTTAAAAAGGCATTCTTCAGAATTTCCCTTTTTACTCTAAATTGCTAGTATCTAGAAAATATTCCTCTTTTGCTCTTCTACCAATGTGTTCAATTTACTGCGTGAGTCCTAAATAGATGACTGGTCATGTACTCATAACACACAAAAGATTAAGTGTTAAAGGTGAAATTAACGTGACTTTATCCGAGAAAATTTCTTATGGCTTCTTGCCCACCTCCTATAGTGTGCGTAGATCTTGTAAGTCATGTTATAATCCCACACTCTACATTCATTGTCGTTGGTCACACACAAATAACTTACTCAATGTGCCTGGAGCAAAGGTAAGGCTAAGATATTTATTAAAAGCAAAGCAAGCCAACCTCAATCCCTATACAACTAGTGTTGACTTCACTTTGAACGCGATGTTGAGAAATCTTGCAGAGAATTATAAATCAGAAACAAGTATGGGCTCCCATTGAACAAATGGCAGTAAATCAACCAAATCTCATTCTTTCTTTTTAGAAGTACTATTATTTGATAATTTAGGAGGCTATGTCTTGCAGCGTAAGTATCTCCTTGCAAAGTAGCTGAATGGGCTTGGGGCATCTTGGTTTGGAGCAGGAATTTCACAAGGACGTACTGATGTGGCTGTAAGATCAAGAAGGATGGAGGTAGGATGATTAGGTGAATTTTTAGCTAATGGTTAATGAATTAAGACCCTCTTGGAGGGAAGTCTCTGGGATCACATCTCAGGGCTTTGTCCTTGAACCTGTCCTACTTAACACCTGGCAAAAATGGAAAAGCTGAAGGACAGAGCTAAAATACTAAATGTAGGTGGGCAGAGAGAGAGTTCAATGTCATTTCAAATTATTAGAAGAATGGGACCCAATAAATGAAATGGATACAGAATAATTATTTCCCAGACTTGAAAGGGCAAGTGCAGCCCTCAGAATACCGATTCTATCCTGTATCTCCCACAAGAGACCAGCCGGCCTGCAGCGGAGTGTCCAGGGAGAGGAAACGCTCTGCTCCTGAGGGAGCCATCCTTGAGGGACAACTACAAACACAACATTGAATGTTTAGGTTAAAAAGTGTTTCTTAAAATGTTGTATTTATTTTTGTGAGCAAGAAGAAAGAGTGTGAACAGGGGAGGGTCAGAGAGAGAGGGAGACACAGAATCCGAAGCAGGCACCAGGCCCTGAGCTGTCAGCACAGAGCCTGACGTGGGGCTCGAACTCATGAACCGTGAGATCATGACCTGAGCCAAAGTTGGATGCTTAACCGACTGAGCCACCCAGGTGCCCCTGAATGTTTAGGTTTTAAAAGAAAACAATTATAGGTACAAGAGATGGCCAAGAGTTGGGTTCGGCACATTTTGATTTAGATGACTTAAGAAAAGAGAGTCAATTGCTAGAAGACTTAATACTATTTTTTGCATTTTAAAACCTCTTTCTGCAAATTGTGGTGTGAAAAATTTAAAAGACACAGTGACATGTTGGAATATAGCTAGAAAAACGTGGCTATGACAACTGAGGGTACCTGATTTGGAGAAATGAAGATGCCGGGTTGGAGACTGGGTTTCGAGGGGCAGCAGGACCAGGAAGTGAAAACAAGAGCATGATGACTGGAGCTATTCCGTCAACCAGAAGGTCCTGAGAGCCAATCAATGCCATGACAGGCAATTCAGTACTGTGCGAGGTGACGACTTGGGCCTCGAAAATTGCACCCAACTTGTCTTGCAGAAGAATCAGCTCTCTGCCACTGGACGTTACTAAAAATCGCTGCTGTGGGAACACTACCTGACCAGGAGATACCATTATACAAAGGAGGTAATGACAGCTGCAACCACCGGGACTTGTGAGCATCCAATAAGAGAAAAGAAGTGTAAGTGTGCAGAAAACTGCATCGGAATGACTTGTTCTTTGTGAGAGACGACATGTAAGGGATTCCCCTAGTTAGGAAACAAAGTACACTCTCTGGTGTACAAGGTCCATTCGGACCCTAGGAGTCTATGACTTCATCTTATTAATAACCCAAACTAATTAATTCCGGTTCAACATTCAAAGTTTATATTGGTTGATTGCATTATGCCCCCACCCCCCGACTTTCACAGTCTACATTAAAACCTGTAAGATGCAATCCCTTAATGCCATGAAGTTAGAGCCTTTAATAGTACCTAATTAAACCATTTCCTCTGGTTCGTTGTTCATCGTTTGCATAAATGGAATAGAGAGGTCTGTGTACAAATGACGTTAAATCGTATGTCAGTAAGCTCAAGGAAAAAAGAAATAACACAAATATATGATGATTTAGCGAAGAAAGATCCTTCTTTTTTTTTTTTTTTTTAAATAACAGAAACGCTCCCTTTAAAACTCAGTATTATGACCTGATCATACTTAACGACTATGATTTACGTTCACTATCTACGGACAGGATGGAACATGCTTATTTGACTTTCATGTCTTTATATTCATTCTTTGCCTAAATGGTAACAAAAACGGATTCAAAAATAATGTCTAAGAAATGAAATGAAAAACTCTCCTGGGGAAGCTCAGAATCAATGGAGAGAAAAGAATCTGGAATTAAGTAGAAAAAGGAAAAGGGTCGGGAGCAGGGATGAAAGATGAGGAGGAAGTATGCAAAATGTGTTGAATTACTGGAAACATTAAAAGATACGTTAGATGAGCAAAAGTAAGTTTCAGATTCTACAATGCTTTTTTGACTTCAGGCAAGCCTCCTAAGCCGTAACTTCATCACACATGCGTGCGCGCCCACGCACATGATGCCCAGTCTCGGTGTTTGTGGAGTCATGGAGCAGTTTATGTAAAGCAGTGTTGGAAACCGTCTAATAACATGACAAAACAAATGGCAAAGAATGCTGGCTTAAGTGATTTTGCTACCTCAGCTGGGAAACGGTTTTCACAGTGTGGTTATTTTACTATATTTGAGATGGCCATACTATTCACACAGCCCAACGGGAGTCTGTTACGCTTGAAGTTTCTGGGTAGCGGCAGGTGCTGGTGTCTGATTCATGCTGAGGGGAGTCACTGGACTCCCCCTACCCCACCTGTGGCACGTCGCTACCAGGAGTTGCCAGGAACGTGTGTGAATGAGTTTCCCTCTTCCATCTGCTTCTTTGAGCTTCACACATTCTAGTCACCACTCTTCTCAGAAAAGGTAGTATAACTGTGGGGCCCTCCTTGCACCTCCAGTCTCTTCCCAGAGCCTTCCACTGGTGGCTCCCAACAGGATCCAGGAGCCAAGGAAGGCAGGGGATGCCAGCTAAGGGACACGCAACACAGAGGACGGAAGGGGTTGGTGGATGAGTACATGGGTGGGTATATGGACAGGTGGAGGGGGAGATGGCTGGGGGTGGGTGGGTGTGTGGATGAGTGGACAGTGACAAAGTCAGTAAATCATGTGTGGTCTCAATTTCCAAAAACTACTCTCTCTATATATATACAATGCCAGTGAGAATCAAATGGAATGATGTGAAAATATTTTTTGAACTCTTTACAGTGCTATGTGTATGTCAATTTTATTTTATGTTTTTGGTTTATTTACTGGGTTCTTTGGGGAATGAGACTGAGGGGAGAAAAGCATGATCTAAGTGGTGGTTAAAATGCTAAACTTTAAGAGAACAGAATACTTTTGTTCAGCTTGTTCTTCAATGCGCTTTGTGGATATTTTAAAATGCGCTAAACTAGACAGTGATTAAGCGGCAATGCTGATTATAAAAAAAAAGGCTAGATCTTGGTGTCATACCATCGTAAACGTCCTTAACACAGGGAAGACCTACTTCATTGGTTGCTAAAGTTCACGAAGACTTAAACCTGTTTTAACTGAGAGAGAGGATGCATTCCATTCAGAAAGGAAGTCAACTGGAGATGGCTGGATACCGATCAAGTACAACACATCATTCCAGCACGCCCCCGAGCCAAGCAGTGGGCCCCTCAGGACTTTCACTGATCCCCCAGTGAGAAGCCCTGTGAAACGGTACCTGTATGTGTCCTTCGATGAGCCTTCAGGTGAGAACTCTTTGTGTATACTTTGTTGCATCCCTCAAAATCACATCTGTGGATACGCCGTTTCCTGGAGTCGGGGGACTCAGACCGTCTCTGGCGTCTTGTGCTCTCAATACTAAATGGTGAAATTGAACTGGAAAAAAGAAAAAGTGGAGTTAAATGCGAGAAACACAGCACTCGGGTTTCGTTCTAGTGGCACAAGACCTCAGTCTCATGGTCTATAGTTTCATTAAGACTCGAGGCCCCATGTCCCCGTTTCCCACTGTCACTTTCTTGGACATATTTTATTTCTTAATCTTGAACACAGGCAGCTTGATCTAAACACTCCACCAGAGGGAAAGTTATGCTGAAACAACAAGACCAAAACAAAAACTCAGTAAAAGCAGTGGTAGGGATCCTTGTTCTCAAAAGGAACAATGTGGAACTTCTGTATGACATTTACAGACAATAGTTTTGGAAGACCTGCTACAGACGGCCAAAATGAACGCACTTAATAAGTAACATGAGGGTCTGAATTGCACGTGACAACATATATAATCGTGTAAAATCACAAGGTACATTTCAAAACAAGTGAGGTCAGGCTGAAAGAAATGACATCAGTACATCAATAACATGACTCATGACAAGCTATTTCTGTTCACTAAAATGAACCTGACATTTAACTTTTCCACTTGGTGGTTTTTCACGGTGAGGAATAAAGTACATTGTATTTAAAGATTAGCTGTACCACCATTATGAGAAAAACTTTTAACTATGAAATTTGGCCCTGACTTGCACGTTGTTTAATCTTCATGCCATGGTAGAAAAACAGGATTAGTTTGTAACGTCAGGTAATTGATTAACATGTACTTCTTCAAATCTTAATCTCTTTGGCTTGAGGTAGAAATGAAGAATATGACTAATCGTTTTTAGTTATCCATGAAGTTCTTTACTATTACAATGAAATACAACACAAAAGCAAGCATCCATATTTTCTACCAGACAAAATTTACCACTGTTAACATCGGACATATTTTCTTCCAGCTTTTTTGTGTCTTGATGCTTTTAAAATTTCATTTTTATTAAATCACCTCTTTTTAAAAAGCTGAATGACTCTGAGCAAGAGTTCTTTGAAGAAAGTGAAGTTGAAGCTTCACTTAAGAAGATTACAGATGAAGGCTGACCCCACCTTTGTCTTCCAGCCTCCTCCTCCCTGGGAAAATCTCTGTTACCAGTTTTATTGGAATTCTTCCAATTCTTTCAAATGATCCTCACCTATACATATCTACAGTCCTAGAAACTCATTCTGCTGTTTGTTTTTTCAAGAGCCGTGTAAATATCATGTTGTTCACATCATTTTGCAAATTGCTCTATACTTGTCTTTTCTTCACTCAACACGCAGTATTTGAGATTATCCACACTGACGGCAACACTGGAGTTGATTTACTTGTGGTGCTATGTGCCACCACTCCTCTATTCTATGATATTTTCTTTTTATAGTTTAATGTCTCTAAAATCAGAAGCTTCTTACAATTTGATAGCTTGTCATAGTTTCACTGGCATAATTTTTGTTCTTTGTGAGTGGGACATAGTAATGGTACATTTCACAATATGTGGTATTTGAAACTTAACTTCAGGGGTTGGTAAGATTTTTCAGTAAATGGTTAGATAGTAAATATTTTGTTTTGACTTTGAGAGCATACAGGGTACACTGTAACAAATCAACTCTGCCCTTACAGCATGAAAGTAGCTGTCAACAATACATAAACAAGGGAGCATGGCTAATATTCCAATAAAACTTTATTTATAAAACAGTGGGTTGCATTTGGGTCTAGTGGTTGACACATGACTTAGATGAATTATGGTCCAGTGAATATTTATCCCAGAGTCTTAAAATCTATTTCCTAAGTGATGGACATTTACATTATTTTTTAATTTTATTTATTTGAGAGAAAGAAAGAGAGAATGAGAATGAGTGAGGGAGGGGCAGAGAGAGAGGGAGAGAGAGAATTTCAAGCAGTCTCCCCACTGTCAACGCAGAGCCTGAAGCAGGGCTCAAACTCATGAACCATGAGATCAAGACCTGAGCCAAAATCAAGAATCAGTTGCTTAACCAACTGAGTCACCCAAGTGTCCCTAAACTGTTTCTAATAGTTCACTATAACATTGCTCCACTGCACTTTGCTCCCCAATGTTTCCTTCTACAGCAATTGCCTTATAAGGTTTCAATGTATCTTCTCCTTCGTACAAATAAGAGATCCAACAGCCCCAGCTTTCTATTATTAGCTAAGACAAAATATAAGTGGTGTTTATCTACTTGTATCTTAAAGAGTTTTATGCAAGATCCTTATTAGTAGAATGAAAGAAAATATGGGGTGGCTTAGCCACTTTTCCAGCTTTCTCATGAATCAATGTGGATTTGTGGTTTTCCACATAACTGACTCAGTTGTGGTGACTGGAGCCCATTGTGACAAGAGTCAAAATAGTGTGACTGGCCTGTCCATGGAAGAACAGCTTCGGTCACTCCTGCCAAGGTCAGCTCTGGCATAGGGTGCGATTCCTATGAACAAAATGGTATGTGTGGTGAAGGGCAAGATAATTCATTACTCGGATATCTAGTCATAAAAATAAACATGGATTTTGGCACTGGGGGCCTCAAAAATAGAAACTTCTGTGTTGTGGTATGCTTGACACCTTTTAAATCAAGAGAAATGATATGGTATCTGTTTCCTTTGAATTATAACTTAAAGTTTTACTTGCTACACACTAATAAGTATAAGGTAAATGTAACTATGCATAACCACACACATATATTGTCATGCCTGCAGTATACAGAAAAGTAAAAACATAAATCTGAAATTAAAACCAAGTAACTACTAAGCATGTCTTGAAGGGACCAATGATGTAATGTGGCTCTACAGTCCCGTCAGTCATGAACTATGTGGCAGGTGGTTAAGGAAAGTGGAGGCTACAGAATGCCATGATAATACTTCACCAGGAGTCCTGAATTAACACCAAACAAAGACATGTTAGGCATACGGCCCTAATGGTGAAACCTTCACACCCTGGTTTTCCTCATTTGGGAAATGGCCTGTGGTAGTGCATTCTGAAGGACCACCCCCTAAAAAGTATGGACAATGAAGAGCTGCACCCGGCCGAGCTGGCTTGGAAACGATATCCAGTGGGGAAAATTACACCTGGTTGCCCTTTTAAAATGGCAGAGACATCCTCCTAAGATGCTGAAGAGCCTTGGGCAAGGCTGTGCCTTTCAGAACCACTTGTTGGATCTCTTTGTGGAAAAGTAAGAAGTGGGGCTGGAGTAGATGGGAATCAAAAGAGCAAAAAGACTTCAAGAACACGGGAAGATGTGAGGACGGCCCAACTCCATGCAGGATTGGCTGCTCTTCTGGGGCTCATGTACGAACCCACAAATGGCAGGCACTGGAGGGTAGACAACCAAGGGACTGGGGGGTTGGTAAAGCCAAGTTCATGGCAGGAAATGGGACAGTCAAGGCATTGGTGCCAAGTATCTCTAGATCTTAGGACACTGTGAGCGTTCAAGAAATGTTTCCTAAATCGAATGAATGAATGAGTGGGTGGATGGTGAGTGTATTAGTCAAGTATTCCTAATTTTCAATTCAATATAATCAATCAATCAATCCTTAATTGGCTAATTAATCATTACTAGGATTCTTTCATTGCAAGTCTTCTGATAACAGTCACTCAGTTCTTTACTCTTCCTCCCATTTTCCTAAACTTCATATTTCAAATACTAACAAACTGGCTACTGAATATCAGAAGAGTCTGGTAACCATTAAAACTGCATGTCTGTAAGTGTCTCAGTTTTTTGCTCTGAAGTCAAGAGAATGGCAAAAAGCATTGCTTACAATTAAAATTCTCAGTAGAAGCACACTGAGATTGCTCTGAAGATGTCTAGGATGCTGATGAATGAAATAAAAATCTTGCGGTGAACAGGGGAAGGTCAAGAACGACCTTACTCCTCAGCAATAGCGTCCTGCCCTGTCTTACTCTGAGGCTCAGAAGTACAGGCATTTGGCAACAGAACAGCTATAATTATGCTTCGGGTGTTTCTATTCTGCCCTTTCTACGCTTTCTGAGCCATGTGCCCTTTGCTTACAAGGCCCTTAAGGTATCCCCAAGCACATGTAAATTGGTTCCGTGCTTCAAAAGTTGGTCTTGTTCTGAAAAACGGAAATGCGCAAATACTGCTGCTGCCTACGCCAGCAAAGGATTCTTCCCATAATCCTCAGTAATAAGCTTGGTGTGATGAAAATGGTAGAGGTAAAACGGTGGCCAGTGTGTTCCCAGACACTGTACTAAAGGCATCTGCACAGTTCAAAAGAACAGTAACTAAAGGTCCACTCCCTTCCCCAGAATGTTAGACCATTTGGAGTAGTGAATGGGCGCCTGAGGGGGCCTCACATGCACCGCGTTGTAATAATTAGATCTACGGAGAACAAATGAGTGAATCATGACTTCGGTTGCACAACAGTCCCACTTGGAATGGCAAGTTCAATTAGAATTAAACCCAGAGAGGCTCAAAAAGTCACATCCAGGAACAGCTCTATTTAAATAGAAGGCACCGCATGGCTGCCATGGAAGAAATTAAGGTTAACTGTAATCAGCAGGTAATAAAAGACCATTTGTCACGTGTGACCTTAGTGTGATGAGATGCCCTTCACTGAAATTGAAGTTTCTATAGGTGTTTGAAAAGAAAAAAAAAAAGAAAGGCAGGACAGTCTTTTAAGGCTGATAAGAGAAAGAGGACACACACACATCCCAAATTTTAAAACAAGAGCAGAAAACAAAGAAAAAGAAGGTGCTTTAGCAAGTTCACACATTCTGTCTCAACAGACCTCCAAGGAGCATGGCCTTGGATGACAATGACAGCTGACATTTACAGAAGGCTTACCAAGTGCCAGGCGCTGCTCTCAACACTTTAAGCATCAACGCAACTCTGTGAGATCGATATTATTATTGTCCCTCATTTAAAGGTGAGAAAACTGAGGCACTGAGAAGGCCAAGGCCCAAACAAAGGAGGTGGCCATACTAGGATTTGAACCCAAGTGGGTGACTCTAGAGCCCACTCTTAGTTATTACTCTCTATGGACTCAGACAGACACAGGTAACATC